GTTGTTATAACTGTGATGGGTTGAGATGAGCCGGATTATGGGAATACTATTTAACTGGGGTCGAAAGAAGGTTTTACCATTATATATCGAGTACTGTACGTGACGCATTGAGCCGGGTTGTGAGAATATTAGCAGGCAGGGATGTGATAGAACGGCTTTTAATTCATTGGATAGGGAGTGTTGCACAGGCGCTTTGAAATCATTTGAACTGGATGGCAATGCGGATATACGGAAACACATATATAAAAAACTTGGCTCAGCGCAATATCACTGTTCCAAAACAACATCACGTGGATAATGGCAAGTAATTATTCAGGCTTTCCAAATACTTACTCAGCGCAATATCATTGCTCCAAAACAACGCAAAGATCGGTGGAACTGATGCCAGCAGCCGACACATTAAACGAACCAACCCTCCTGGCAGTTGTGTACCTGCAGACAGTAGAATGCCAATATACATCAATGCCCAGCCAAAACACAGAACTCTATCTGTAGAAAGAAAACTACCAACATGCGTATATGTCTGGCCGAAGACGTATGTCTATATCTGTAGAAAGTAGAATATTAGCGTGCCGTAGCCAAAGACATGAGCTCACAACTGTTGGGAGGAGAATGTTAACATGCGCATTTGCCTAGCCGAAGGCATATACTTGTATACGTATTAAAAAAACCGTTAACATACATTTATGCTATACTTGTACCTGTGGAAGAAGAATATATATATGCACATATACCTAGCCGAAGACATGTACGTATATTGTACGTACGAAGATAAACAATAATATGCACACACGCTATACTTGTACATGAAAAATAACGAATAATTGTATAATGTTGAGGCATTTCATTGCATACGAAAAATCTGCGCACGAGGCAACATCCTTGGAGCATTTGACCTAGACCTACCTGCCGCCAGTGACATCTTCTTCACGATATATTCCAGACTGCTTCCCAGCGTGATAGCAATCAACGGGTACACACTGAACGTATCCAGCGCAGGAAAGATGATCACTGCCATATTCAGCAGTGACCCCCACAGGGGCAGCGCTTCTGCGGGCGAGTAACCGTACCGGAAACTGGCCCAGTTTAAGTTAATACTGGCATTGGCCTTGGCCCCAAAATAGAGGGCACAGGACAGGGCCATGACCACATACATTAGCGTGGTGGAGATCAGCGCCGCGCCGAAGACCGTGTGAACGTGCGCCTTGCGTTTCATGGGATGTATGAGTCCTGTGGAGTAGAGTGGATATGCAGAGTTGAGCTATATATATATATATATATAGAAATAAGAAATAGAAATAGAAATAGAAATAGAAATAGAAATATATATATATAGTGTCGCTCAAATAGGTCTATACAT